CTTAATTTACATAATTTTATAAGAAAGGAACAAACCTTAATTACTTAATACTGTATCAGTATGCTTTCTGATGGTGTATTAATTCAAACAAGTCCTATTTAGGAAACACAGAATTAGACTATGACATTTTCTGATTCAGACTGTATAAAATTCAGAGTGTCTGGGGGAAAAAAGCTATTGCCAGCTACCACAGTAGAACATAAGAAAAAAAATTTAAATAGTTCAAATAATGTGTATAGCTCAATTTCCAATTGTTTAGAGAGTTTATAAAGAAGGTTCCATTTCATTCTTAGTTCATCATGAAACATCAATAAAATGTGAGACTACAGTCTGGTGAAAGAGATGACAGTGGTAGTTAGACAATGGAATAAATCAAAGGAAATCCACTGATGGCAGATATAATGTATCATTTTTGCTACTTGTTTGTGCTTGTATTCCTTATATTTTTAATGGATTTTGCATATTTTTTTCTGCTTTAAAAAAGGCTTTCTCTGAATCGAGAGTATACAGTAGTACCTTGTTAATTTTCCTTCACTAGGAATTAAGTCGCCACTTAACCAGCCATTTTCTAACCTGATGGGGTCCACTAACACTTAAGGGGCTTTGTGTTCTTATTTTGGAGGAGGTAGGTTTTGAGTGATGTGTAAGGTCTGTCAAGGTATTAACAATGGAAAAAGTTGGATTCTAATGGATTACATAGATCAGGAGTGATTTAAAAACATTCAGTGCCCTTTGGCTACCAGTACAAAGCCACTTACCCAGTTACTGTTCTGCAAGGGAAACTTCCTTCTCCAGCAGAGATGGTGACTTGTACCAGTCTTCAGTAGACTTCAAGGGTCAACTTCCTGCAGAGGTTTTCTGATTTCAGCACCTCACTCAAACCGCCAGCTGTAACAGACAGTGTGACATCTACCTGTGGTAGTACAGACTCCTGTATTTCTTGCATGCAGTAGAAGTCTTAGTGGGTTTTGTAATTTGTGCTTGTGGAACCCTAGAGACCTCTAGTCTCAGAAGAGTTTAAGCAGATAAGGGCAAGCGTTCAGTAGACACCAAGATCCTAATGAGAAATCCCTGAAATGTCTGTTCCACCTGGACTTTGGCATTGTCATATTTCTCAGTCAGATATCCCCATTGCTCTTGGTAGACTGGCAGAATGAGCGAGTTGACACTCATTGTTTTTTCTTCAAGTCAGAGCTGGTGTACATTGGCAAGGTGGTTTCACAGAGACAGCTATTTTCAGAAGTTCTAACCTGGCCTCTGTTGAAAACATAATAAACCAAAGCTCCAATTTTGCTGACTTATCAACACAGAAATTGTTGGTTATCAGGTTGAATATTGATGACTGCATATGTTTTTACTGCTGTTGACAATTTTCAGTGTCCACCTGATCAGGTCTTACACACAAAAGGTAACTCTGAAAAATGGGAGCACTTGTTATGGATAATGGACAGCCCACATCTCCACTGCTTGCAGGAGCAAAGGAAGTAAAAAGGAAAGATACCCCCACTTCTCCAACACTAGGCATTTGAAGACTTTCCTGTTGAAATTAGGAATCAGTATTCTGCATATAGGTGTGATAGTCCACTTCAGGATGTGGGTAGGCAAAAAGGTACAGAAACCACCTTTGCTCTTCTTCTCTAGCACTGTTGGCTCAAATTTACACAATGCAGGAGTTTTGTTTCTGTCATTCTGCGCAGAGATCTTGCACAGCTGTGGATGAGCTCATGGGTGCTGTTTCAGGATTAGAGGGTTCCCCTGGGGTGTACCATGAAGTGCAGGCTGTAAGAAGGTCACTGTTCAGGTCAACGTTTCAAAATTCTTTGAGAATTTTACTTGGTAGCCACTTTTCATATGTCCTGTGTAACTTCTATAAAATACTTGACTAGATAGGGCTGGTATTAACAGGCATTGTAACACAATATCCAAACACAATATTTTCACTGCTATTTATCGGTTGCTTCTTCACCAGTTGCTAGGGTGAGGGCAGAGGGGTTAGAACAACACTAGTGCGGTAATTTTGCCTCAGAGCAGGGGCTATGAAGTTCTTCTTAGCTCTGTTTTCTATGAATCTATGAGTAAGACCATCAAAGGAATGGGACAGAAATCAGAACAAGTGAGATGTTTGGTGTTTCTTTGGGTTGCATGTTAGTATCAAGCACTGCTCACCTGAAAAAATGTTTGGGTCTTGGGGCAATATTCTACTCCCTGTAAAACTCCCTTATTTTTAGCCACTTCAGGGTTTGCTTTACAGTTTAATTATATTGTGTTTGTAAAATAAAAGAAATTAAATATAAAAGATGTTAACAAAAATACCAATTATGCTATCAGTATGAGAAATAACTCTTGAGAAGGCATTTTTAGAATACCTCCTTTTTTTGCATCAAAAAACATTTCATCTACAGCTATCCTGGTTTATTAATCAGGTGAAACATCATCGACTAGGCATTCATGTACTATGCAGAATGTATTCCTCATTTTCCTTTTCTGTTTTCAGACACTAACTGAAAAATTAAGAACCTATGTAGTATAAATTATCTAATATTTAGGCTAAGAGATCCTGTTATCTGTTTGTTTCTCATTATTTGAAAGTATCATATGGTATTATATGATCCTTAAGAGAAAAGAAAATGAAATCTACGTGCAAAACTGTAGACTTAAGGGAGGGATTTATTTGTCTGCTTGGGCATTATTAGGCTTTTTTAAAAATTGATTTTCTTTTGGGCAATTTGTTTTGTGATAATACTGCAGTGTGTAAAAAAAAATTGCTAGTGATTCAGTTCATGCTAATACCTTGACCTTGGAAAAAACCCCAAAACAAACAAACCAACCCACAGGAAAAAAGCTCCAGCTATGATCTGTTCTGACAAATGATATGAGGTAATGCGTGTTTTAAACACAGTTATTTGTGTAATATGCATGAAACATTCCCATTTTTCTTTTTTATTTGGAGTCCTGCTGAAAAACAACATTTAGTATGTCCTCATACTTCTTTTTTATCACATGTGCCCCGGTGGCCAAGAAGACCAGTGGCATCCTGTCCTGGGTCAGGAACAGTGTGGCCAGCAGGGCCAGGGAAGGGATTCTTCCCCTGTACTCAGCGCTGGCGAGCCCACACTTGGAGTATTGTGTTCAGTTCTGGGCCCCTCAGTTCAGGAAGGACATTGAGGTGCTGGAGCGGGTCCAGAGAAGAGCAACCAGGCTGGCGAAGAAACTCGAACACAAGCCCTATGAGGAGAGGCTGAGGGAGCTGGGGCTGTTTAGCCTGGAGAAGAGGAGGCTCAGGGGAGACCTCATCACTCTCTACAACTACCTGAGAGGAGGTTGTAACCAGGTGGGAGTTGGTCTCTTCTCCGAGGCAATAATCAGTAAGACAATAAGGCACAGTCTCAAACAGTGCCAGGGGAGGTTTAGGTTGGATGTTAGGAAGAAATTCTTTACAGAGAGATTCTTTACAGAAATTCTTTTATATTGAAATGGGCTGCCCAGGAAGGATTCTCTGTCCCCAGAGGTTTTTAAGATGAGATTGGATGTAGCACTTAGTGCCATAGTCTAGTAACCACAGTGATAGTGGATCAAGGGTTGGACTTGATGATCTCAGAGGTCCTTTCCAACCCAGCTAATTGCATGATTCTATGATTCTATGACATTGCCTTTGCCTATTATATAGTATTTTGTATTCTTGGACAAGAATTTCTTGAGGGCAAATTGCCAAGTGCCTGCATCGGTTGCTGCCAGTACAGAGCCTCCAGAGGTAGTGATGGCACTGATGTGGGGGAATTCACAATCATGGATTTAATCAGTGTTTCCTAGAAGCAAGCTGCAATTGATTGCACAAAGGAATGAGCAAAAGCATACTTTGCTCCATGGGAGGAAGGAGATATTTTCAAGGATTGATTTCCCAGCTGAAGTGGCCTATCACTTTTGCTGCTCCTGTGCAACCCTGGCAGAAGTTTGTCACTTTCCATCATTGGACAGGATAAAGGAAAAGAGTTGCTACTTCTATCTCAGATGGAGCTTCAGCTGCATTCAGCAAGGCAGCTGGTGGCTGGCACAGCACAGATTTGACTCTGCAGGGAATCAGGTCCATAAAGAAAATCTTCCTGTACTGACAGTCAAGAAGTCAAATACAATGTGCTGTTTTTTCTCAGGCTATTCCTCACTTCAATATAGGTATTATGGTCTCAATAGTCACTGCGCATCAACATGTGGTCTGTGGGTTCTTTGGTCATGGGTTATATTATAGTACAGCATCAGATATGTCTGTTAAATGCAAAATGTTCCATATTTTGAGAGTATAGCGCTTTTACACAGTCATCCTGTTGATATTAACTCAGTTAACCCAACATCAGCAATGTGGATGTAGATGAGGCAATGACACTTTCAGCACTGGTTATTTGATCAGTCTTGAGCAGAGTTAGATAGCACAGCTATTAAAAATGTCATCATCAGAACATCTTTCAAAAGAAAAGGGGCCCTAGGAGGCTAGCCTTGGGACCTTAGTGGAAAGCACTTATGACTTTGGTCAGCGAAAGTAGGAAGCTGATGACTCAGTACCTTGGGCCAAATCTTACACAATACAAGTGATGCGAAGTGATCAAGTAAAAGTAAATATCAATGAAAAGTTGATCCATTAATTTAAATTTCCAAGAAAAGGATATCCTGTAACAAGCAACCTTAAGTTTTGGACATGGTTCAGTGTTACAGTTCAAAATTAGTCACAGTCTTGCTGTGCTTGTAGGGTGGTCCTGATTTGTTACTCCACTGTGTAGTGCAGATCTGACTCATCATTACATACTGCTACTTAATGTATGGATGCTATCTTGATGGCTCCTGGCTTGCTTGGGGTGTCTCAGGGCTAAGAACAAGCATTTGTGAACCTGGTATGGATACACTGCTAGGGAACACCTCAGCTACAGATGAAAAATATTCACTGTGTCAGTACCGAAGTCACTGAAACAGGAGATTATGTCATTCTTATATGCCCAGCTGCTGGTTACTACTTGGCTGATACGTATAGAGCTTTGAGGACAATTACACATGTATTTTTAATAATTCTTGATAAGGATGCCCTTATGTGAACAGCTCAAATGTACAACTTTTTGAAGCTTCTGCCTCATGGCAGATTTATCTTTTGGTTCCAGTAAGTGTGTGTTGCAGGAGAACTCGAGACAGAGATCACTCCAACAGATCTGTCCAATTAGTTTATCAAGTTCTACTTAGTAAATAAAGTGTACAGATGGATTGGTAGTCAGTGCTCTGTACTAAAGCATACAAAGATTATTGTGTAAGTTTCCTACACGTATCTAAACTGTTGCATGAATGCAAAAAATGTCACCAACTTATCAATGTCTGGAGTCAGGCAAGGGGTCTTGCAGCCTCAAGGGTAACCTTGAGAGGCATACCTCCTTGTGGGGAGATCACTACTCTGCAGACAAATGCTACAGAGGGAGAGCTCAACAGACCCTGATAGATGCAGATATTTACAGTAAAGTGGTAGATTTGTAGTCAGTTTTTCTGCTATTACTGCACTCTCCTCCACTTATCAATCCAGTCTCCATCCAAACCTGTGGTTTTGATTTGCTACTGAATTCTTATTGGCAGTCTCACACAATAGGATCAACTTTGATCAGATCTACTTGGTGAACATCAGACTGGACCAAAGTTTACTTAGTTCAAATAGGAGGAGTGCATCCATCACAGTGTGCCACAGAGGCAACTGAGGTAAAGCTCCCTAGCATAAGGTACAAAAGGGTGCTTTTGAATATTATTCTGGGTTTGCCAGTGTACTGGGGTAGCCTTCATGCTGCTTTCACAGAGGTTCTTCTCTACTGGATTTGACAGAAGAGTGCAAGTGCATGCATACACAGTTAACTAACAGTTATGACTATTTTTTATTAAAATATACCATTAATTAATTAATGAGACTGCATGCATTAAGGAGAGGAGCAGGTGTACAGAGATATTCTAATTATGACATTGAAATTGGGCATTGTATCTCTTGAGCACTGGTCTGCTGTGTGCAAAACTTTAATCAGCTCTGTCTCAATAAACAAAGTAGGAAAGCTCAAATATTTAAAATATGATAACTGGAAAAGGCCTGTGAGGGGGAAAAAAGTTCTACTTTAAAAAGACTGCTTTTCTCCACAAGCATCCAAACTGAACTGGCTGTTGGGCACAGGGATTTAGTCATGGCTTTAAATAATAAGTGAACCTTTTCCAAATCTGCATATCTACATGATTCACTTCCTGATTTTTCTGTTTTGTTGTCTTTATGTGCTATATATGGATTTTGATCAGCTGTAGCATGCTGGATTAATCTTACTTGTATCTTTAATACAGTATACTCATTGCCTCCCAAATGGAACCAACGTATGCCAGGAGAGTGTACCCATGTTTTGATGAACCTGCCATGAAGGCCACATTTAATATCAGAATTGTCCATGACCCAAGTTTTGTGGCTCTTTCCAACATGCCTGCTATTGGTAGGTAAACAGCAAGTCACCTTATGGGTATTTCCCCCTAAATTACTTTTTAAAAGGGTGCAATTTCTCTGAGCAGACCATGTCATCTGATACAGCACATTGTCCATGTGCTAATGTCTTCAAAGGGCACACAAAATCCATGTCTATGAACTTAAACATTTGGACTCTATTATTCGTAATTAATGTCTCTGATGGCAATAGTTCCATTAAATAGTTTTGTTAGTTGTGATGTGCTCTCCTCTGGCAGCTGCAAGCTGCAAAGTGTTTGATTCCTGGCATTTACTGCTTAGTCAGTGAGTCTCACCATGTGACATCCTTTAAAAACAAAATGGCAACCCCAAGTATGCAAGGCCTGTATTTGTGACATGGAGGGACTCCTTTAACTCTAAGTAGATTTTAAGTAGATTTACAACATACAAAAAATTGTTTTACCAGGCAGAGACACTATAGCCTTCTGTGTATGTGAAGAATAAGAAAAAGTGCACTATCCTCTGGAGACACTCCTCCTGTCCCTTGCTGGGATCATGTGGAGTGTCTGTGGGATATAAGGTTCCAAACAAATTCTCTAAATTAGTACTCCTACAGAAATCTGTTGGATCTCTTTCCTTCTTCTTAAAAGTTCTTTTTCTGCAGTTCAATGCCACGAATCTCTATTTTTCAATTAAATAATTTTCAGCCATAAAAAGTAAGTACGACATTTGCAATGGAAGATAAGTTACTAAGGAATATAGATTGGGTCTCTGTGAGAATGGCTGGAAGCATTTTCTACCCCTGAGAATCCTGTCCATATCCCTCTTATTTAGAAGGAAGGTATCTGATATAGTATTTCATAATTCTTAGGCACACATGACCTGTATTTGAATTATAATAGATTGGATATTTTAGAGATACACAGCATGGGATAAACTGTCCACAGCTTGCTCACATCTTCAAACTGACACAGTTTGATATTCTTCCAAGACTTCATTTAAGAAGCTCAAGAGTGGATTTTTGGTGTTCTCATGGAAGGTCACAACTCTGATACGTGTCAGTAGCAACGAGTCTGGCTGCTTTCCTTCTGTCAGAAACGTATGAAGTTAGTGCAGGAATACAGCATATTGAAGAGAGTGGTAAAAAAAACTTGAAGAAAACATAAAATTCCTTGTTTATTGTGGACGAGCATTGGTTTGAATATTTTTTTGATTTTTTTTTTCCTAGATGTATCTGAAATGAAGGATGAAAATGGAAGCCTGTGGACTGTTACCACATTTAACACTTCACTGAAAATGTCGACTTATTTGACTGCCTTTGTGGTCTGTGATTTTGATTATGTCACCAGAACGGAGCGGGGAAACAAGGTAATTATAAGGCTGCATAACACATTATGGCAGTTTACAACGGAAGTTGGCTCTGCTGTGCATCATGTGCTTCAGAAGATACCGCAGATGTTAACTGCGTTTTCCATTCCAAAACTATTTGCTTATGTGGCAAAACTACTAACATTTATCCTGTAGATATTTCTGCAGAAAGCTTTCCTTTAGGACAATTAGTTTATTGTCTCGTCGTGTTTATTTCATACAACTGCAGAAGCAGGTATGGGCTGTGTACGTTAAAAATTTGGAGCAGCTACTCTGCAGAAAGTACTGGTCATAATTCGAGGTCTTCTTACTTCCTTAGCCATCTTAGTTGGAAAAAATATCCATTTCCACTGCTGTGACAAAACACTGACATTCAGTACCTTGTTCTTCAAGACCCTTTGAGAACCAGCACCAGGACATCAATAGGAGCAATACTGTGCTCCAAGCATTTTGTATACTGGTATTTTAACCTTTTTTTCCATAGTGGTCATATATTTTAGGCCCCAGAAGTCATTGTTTTGTGTTTGAAGCTTCTTCATCTGTGAGTATTCAGTTTTGCTCTTACTGTACAATGGCCAAAGCTTCTTGTTAGAAGCTGTAAAAAAATGTACTGCCTTGGCACCAGTTGTTTCTTCTTCCTTCTTTTGGTCAAGGTAAACAGGCAAAAGAAGTATCAAGTTGTTCCAAAATAAATAGTAAATTCAAGCACAAAGCTCTTAAAGGTAGCATTTACTTGATCTCCTTAATAAATGAGAAAACTACCTGGTTAGTTCACTGTCATCCTACTAGGGAAAGGTGGGACAGCATGAGAGGACAGTGCACAGGTCACCTAGGAAGCACAGTATTGGTTCTTTTTTAAAGTGGAGTTTGGATTCAGTATGTCATGTTTGCCACCTTCTGTGTTGAACATGTTGGATGCTTACAGCTATGACAGTGGTGCCTTTGTCTTGGGCTGATGTGTACTGACTAGTTAACAAAGCAGAGCATTCCAACGAGCTTTTATTCAGAGGGAAGAGGCACCACCTGCGTTCTGTGAGACAGAAGAAGACAGTATTTCACTCCTTGGTTTTAGACAGAGATGCTCAGTTCATGCCTCCACAATATTTGTGTGAGCATATGCATTTGTGTCTATTTTTGACATTTCTGCTAAGTAATTTCCAACCTGAAACAGGAGTATTATAACTCAAAGCTTATACTAGGATTAGGATTTTAAGATGTTTAGGTTTTGCAAATGAAGTGGTCTGGTCTTTGAATCTCCTTTGAAGCCTTGGCTGAAAAGAGGGATTTCAAGACTGAGGAGATGCCATTGGCTGAATATGCCTAATTTTTTTTTTCCCTTATAAATTAAATCCCAATGCTTCCCAACTGTGCTCTTAGTGTTTGGCCGTGCAGCTTCTTGTGAAACCATGAGACATATGCATTTAGATGCAAGAAATGTTGAGGTTTTGAGCTGATAGGCACATGGAGGGAGTCTTTCATTCAGAGATATACAATGGAGACAAACCATTTGTCATTCTACTTCATCACTCTTGAGCAAAGAGCTGTCCTTCCCAGTACTGTGACAAAACAAAAGGGCAGAGGAGGGGAAAGCTTTGCTTCCAGCCGTGGTTTCTGTTACTCAGAGGTACAGATGTTCTCTGCTCAGATGTCATCTGCTCTCCCTAGCAGAGAGGGAGGCCAGTGGTCTATTTCAGGCTGTGAGAAAGTTCAAGAGGAGAGATGTGTGTCTTTGTACTGCAAATGCTCTCTGGAAGTCCATTTCTCTCTCATTAGGTGGACTAAAGGAGAGCTTGTCACCCAGACTCCCCAACTGGAATACACTGGCTTAAGATGTGTGATTCTACATCGTTTTACACTATTTTCCACCTAATAAAAGAAAAACGATGAGTTTGTTTGTTCCAACAATATATATATAATTGTATTCAAGTCTTCATCTTTTCAAAGAACCAGAACTCTCTTAGATATTAGTAGGATCAGGCTCTGTGACACATTTTGTGAGGCCCAGCAAAACTTGGATTCTTTTAAAGAATAAATTAAAAGCTTTGTTGCATTGTTTGGTGTGGACAGACAGCATCTTTTTCAACAACGATTCACAAAAGAGGAACGAGAATGAAAATATGAGGGTTGTTTAAAAGAACTCTCCACTGTTTTATTGCAGATACGTGTTTGGGCTCGGAAAGAAGCAATTGGAAATGGGTATCTTGACTATGCTTTAAATATCACTGGCCCATTATTTTCATTTCTGGAAGATGTACTTAACGTCAGCTACCCTCTGCCAAAGACAGGTGAGATGACTTATTTTCTGAAATGGATCAAAAATGGCTGCTGATGGTATAGCATTCAGAGAAGCAATGTGTTATTTTGCAGTATTATCCTTTTACAGCTTAATACATTCTTTTACAGCTTACCATTGAATACACCACCTGAACTTTTACTCACTGAATTTTCCTTTCTGCATCACAGCTTTTGTTAATCTGTAACTCAGCATTCTCACTTTCACATCCTGCTCTTTCTTTTACAGCATTATTTTCTAATAATGGGCAGCTGGGACAACAAAGTGGGTAGAAAGGAGTATTTCAGTCATTTCATGGCTATTTCTGGGATGAATAGACCATAACATGCAAGGATGTTGTAGTTCCTACGTCATCCTAGTAAATCCATGCTTGCTGTAATAACATGTGTCCCCTTCAAGCATTCCTTATTTTCTTCAGTATGTCCCTGTCTTATCTGTGAGTCGGGTGTATGTTCCTCCTGCACTTTCCTTCCCAGAAAAAAGGAGTCCTGCAGGAAAACATTGTTTCTGCTTAAAATCAACATCAGGTAAGTCAGTTATGTCAAGCTTCAGTCAGTCAAGAAGGACACCATCATATAATTTCACTATACAGTTTGTTTGTTACTTGCACTTGGATTCCCAAGTGTTTCAGCATGAATATTCTGGGGAAATGGGCTCTTTTATAGATGTTAGGAGAATACTGAGAGCACAGAAAGCAGGTCTTACTTGAAATGAATTTTGAAGCTGTCCATGATTTTAGCAGATTGCAGAGTTGTGGGGAAAGAATTTCCTTCTTTTCTTGACTGGATAACTTCCTGACCTGTCAAATTTGTATTTTGGCACTTGAAAGAAATAAATTTTAGTCTGTGTAAATGTATTATCTCCCAGTGTATGTCTATTAACTTGTAGAATTCCTCACTACCCTTCTTATGAAAAATGTATTATATGCAGTCTTAACTCATTAAATTTTCTGATCTTAGTAATCATACAAGATACTCAAGGGCTATAGATGATTTTGTTTCATGCTTGTGTTCTTTTGTTTATCAGAAACGTTGACACATTACTTAATTAATATAAAACTACATAAATGAAGTAGAAGACCAGTATTGTAGACTTCCTATTAGGAAGGATTTCACTTTCACAGGAGGCGTAATACTGTTACAGTCCTGACTGTAATGCCTTGCAATATCCACTGGATTTCCCAGTGTCTTTCTTAGAAGTTTTGCATAAAAATCAGTAGGATTAGATCAACCAAGTGTAGCTCTTTGTAAATTCTAGAGACTTCAATTGCAAATTCAGAATGTGAAATTAACGATAAACACATTCAAAACTGGGGATCTTTTAAGGTTTGTCTTCACCTGATTTTAATGCAGTTATAAGGGAACTCTCTTGCCACAAGCTGGCTGGATGATAGCTGTCTTACCAAAAGTGAAATACTTTTGCAGTGGACTCTGGGTGAGATGTAGCTGAGATCAGTCTGGCTGTGCTGGAGTTCAGCATCATGCTTACAATACTTGCCTAGCTTTTGGACTGGAGCTTTCTCATAGTTCCCTGTTTGGAATACAAGCTTGTGTCTGCTTCTAAATGCTCTGCATACCTTTTCCAAATTTTGATCTTTGCTGCCAAGTTTTAACTGTTTAAACAGCCTCTTCGTTTGAGACCCTGAAGTTTTGTCCAGCTCTCACATTTGAACTGAAAAACTGTTCTTTGTACATAAGGCAGAAGGGTAGTACAGAGGTAACAGTCATATTGTGTAAAAAAGAGATGATGTTTCTAAGGGACCTTCAAAGAAGAGTAGAAAGGATACCTCTACTCATACAGCTAAAAGAGCAAGATATTTTTTTTAATCTGTTGCTAACCTGAAGAAAAAGGTAAGTATAATCTTACCCAAACATGGAAGAAACTCACAGAAAAAGATTTCTGGCAGCATCAGTGAATATATTTTCTCCTAGCCTTCATTTTCACTCAGAACATTTGTATGTACAAGATACAGTATGGATCTGGGCTTTGTGGGAATTTATGTGGCTTCCTGAAACAATGGCAATCACAGGTGAAAAGTGTGACAAGAAGAAACTTCGGAGACCACTGGCAAATTTTGACATTATACCACAAAGAGCTACTAAAATGTAGTATCCTTTAATTGGATGTTGAACTAGTATGAGAACTAAAATCATGTGATCAATTTCTTTTCAAAGTGTTAAAGATACCTTTTTTTTTTTTTTTTTTAATCAATTTAGATTTGGTTGCACTGCCTGTGTTTGAAGTAGGTGGTATGGAAAACTGGGGGCTAATGACTTTCCAAGAACCATCACTGATGTACCTCCCAAGTGATAAATTCACAAGCAAAAAGGCAATGATTACCTTAATTGTGTCACATGAGCTAGGACACCAGGCACGTGGTAAAAAATTCTGTGCATTTATTTATCTATGACATTCTTTCCTTCCAGTTGCCGATGATGTAGTCACTGATTAGTAGAAGCAAAATAATTATTTGACAGTAGGGGGTGCAAGCACTAGAGTACTGAAAGCCTGTTTAATCATATGTTTTGCCGATAAAACAATATTAAAAGCAGGTTCTGTCATATTGCAAGCTGTACACATTGCACAGGACTCACTGACACAAAACTGTTAATGGGTAACTTATTTTTTTTCTTACAAAGTACTTGAATACCACTCTAGGGATGTTTGGGTTACACAGTACTCTCCCTATACAGTATACTTCTACTCTGGTGGGAGAATTAGTGGAGTTCATCAGTATTTTTCTGTAGTGGCAGTGCATGTGCATATTGCAAAAGGTATTTCTTTTTCTGTAAGAAAGAGCCTATGTTATGAAAGAACAAAATTACCATATAACTGTTACTTTGACCAGCTTTCACAGAGATTCTCAAATTTTTTCTTGCTTGATTTGGAATGATAATGCAGTTTAATGTCTTTATGGACTATGTTTAATTGACTGTTATTTGTCAGAGCAACAACTCTTTGCACTTAGTCAACAAAGCTAGCAAAAGAGTTTAGCTTTGCTAGTGCATTTTTATACCTTTCTAACAAGGTGGGTAACTCTCCAGACCTTCAGATGAGCAGTGTTTTTATTGCAGACCTATAAAATAAATGTCAACACTTAACTAAACTTTGTTTTAAAATAAAGTTGTAGTTGAGGTTTTTAAGAATTAGCAAATAAAATATCAATCAACAAGTGATTAGTTTTTGTTAAATCTGAACTGCCGAATATGAGTACACAGCAGCTGTTGTGGAAATTTTATACTTGCCAGGATACGGATTTGCTGTTTTTGGAAATAGTTATTTCCCCAGTTTTGTTTACCATTCCTCTGACAATTTCATTTTGTTAAGAACACGTGAAAATGTGTTTTTTTTTTTTAAATTGCTTGATAAACGCCTTACTTTTAATCATAGCCTGATATGATATTTTAGATATTTAAATTATATTGAGAAGTGTTTGAAATGAAATATGCTTAAAGAATGACATAAAGCACTGAGATCCACACTCCTGGTATGAAACTGTAGATGAGGCAGTTTAAAAATAACTGCCCTGAACCTCTGACTTTTTCCAAGGTAGATATTTTCCTACTGAATTTTTACTATCTGAAGGAATGTCCAGCATTTTATTGAATTTACATCCCATAAATGAAGTTACTTCATCATAAGTATGTGTATTTAACCTGCAAAAAAAATGAGATGAGCACACCGAGGACATTTTGAGATACTTTTTCTTTCTATTTAAGTGGTTTGGAAATCTGGTTACAATGAACTGGTGGAATGATCTGTGGCTTAATGAGGGACTGGCATCTTACTTTGAGTACCTGGGAGCTACCTTTGTTGACCCCAAGCTTTCACTGGTAAGTACTAATGCTTACATGCAAAGTTCCACCATGTACAAAGAAAAGGAAGGTCCAGGAGATGGGATTTAATTAAACGATGCTATTATTAACTTAACTCCCGTGGGAAAGACCAGCAGGTCTTGAGTCTTCCCTGGTATGTCTCCATCTGTGGGGGGGCCATGATCATACTCAGCTCTTCTACAGCTGGTGCAGAGGACAGGTGGACAGCTGTGACAAGGAGATGGTGTTTTGCTCTAGATCTGTCATGTAGCAAACCCAGATTTCTCTCCTGGGTCCTGTTGTAGCTGATGGTTTGCCTCCCTGCTTGCCAAGCTCTTTTCCAAGCATCTCGTGCCTCAGGTGTTTTTACGACACAGTAATTAAGTTGGTTCGTTTTTAGTCTGTTTACCCTGCTGTGTCCCTGGATGCCTAGTTGTAGATAAGGCAAATATAATACACATAGCCTAATCCAACATCAGGGCAAATTTCCCTCCTGTTCTGCCCAAATGGGAATAAGCATAAATCTCATAGTATATTAGAAGACTCCATCCATTATTAAACTCTTGATACATATGGATAGTTGCTCCTAATTGCAGTCATGATGTGAGGTGCACTTGCCTGTGCAATCCTAAATGTCTGTACTTAGTGCCCTCAGCCTCTGAAGGAAGGAAAAGCCTTTAGTCGGGGCAGGCCCGTGACTGCAGCTAATCCAGTCTGCTTTGTATTTGGCTCAGTTGAAATACCATTTGTCCATTTCCATTTTCATTGACCAAAATCCTTAATTACATGCTTAATTTGAAATTAATAAAGGCATGTCAAACAAATTCTGTCAGAAAGAATTTTAGATCATGGGATATGCTAATGTTCTGCTCTGAACTTTAACAGCACCTCACTTTATTTTCTGCAATGCAATATTTCAGTACCACTGAAAAGTGTAAAAGCTGCCAGATTTTAAATTGGAAAAAAATTCTTAACTTCTTTTTAATTTTAAACCTTTAATTTAGAAGTTTGCCTTTCTAGAAACCAACAACTGACCCTTGTCTCCATAAAGCAAACTTTAATACTGGGCAGTAATTCTATTTGAAAAATTACAGTTAGGTGATCTGCCTTGGAAATCCAGAGTAAGTCACACAGGTGTGAGAATACAGGTCTTTCTTGTGCAGTTTTGTGGTCCATACACATTTAAAATTACAGAATGGATGAGGCCTGCCTGTGTGGTGCCATCAGCAGACTTACTGAGGTCACACTCAATTCCTTTGTCTGTGTCATTGATGAAGTTACTAAATAGCATTGGTCCAAAACCAGAGCCCTGAGGGACACCACTTGTCACTGATCTCCATTGGGACTCTGAGATGTTGACCATGGTAGGTGACATTTACTCCTGAGGAACTGTTTTCCCTCCATATTTCTCACGAGGTGACAGTGAAAATGCCTCATAACTAAACCTTGGTACCCTCAGTAGCTTAGTTTTTAAGTTATTGCACAGGGTTGCAGCAGGAGAAACATGGAATTTAGGGGGAAAACACTGCCATATTCAGACATACAGTTTTCAGTATTTGTTCATTTGCAGTTTAGTATAGACTTGTGTGTCCCTGACAATTACACTGTAACTGATTCTGTCAGCCCCAAGCCCACAGTATTCTCCGACACAATTTTTTCTCTGATTACTGATGCTGCATGTGGAAAATGTTAGGATCGGGTATGTCATCCCTTGTACTTCATGAGAAAGAGAGTGGGGGAAAAGGATCTTGCTTATGGACAAACAACTTGTAATGCTAATTCCACATTCTTTCCTGAGAATTAGTATCTTCTGATCAGCTTACTTATATTTGTCTTTTTCTTGCAGGATAAAATCTTTTATGATCATGTTGTGCAAGCTGTCTTAAAGGAAGACAGTGAAATAGTTCGATCACTGTCAGAGAGTGAAGACAAGATCAAAGGATCATTTTCTTTAACATCTCTGTTTGACATCATCACATACAACAAGGTTAAAAAATATAAAATTTTTCCATTTCTCACAGATTCTAAAGTAATAGTACTAAGTAGGTTTGAGAGGAACTGTTGAACAGAATTGTTTTGTCATTCAGAAGTCGTTTCTACTGCACACACAAATTTATTGGGTGTTGCAAATCTATTTGGCTACACAGGAAATGGTGGAAGCATTTTTAACCTCTGTGAAATATGAAGTGTAGGAACAGCCCGAATAACTTCTCTGGAATATAGTTTGAAAAAATATTGCAACAATAATTGCAATAATAATTTTTTTTTTTAATTTTTTATTTTTTACTCCAGGGGGCTTCTATAACCTGGATGCTTTCTGATTTCCTAACTGAAAAGTTGTTCATCAGAGCACTTAGTGTAAGTTTGAAAAAAAAAAAACACAACCTTCATCTTGATTTATAAGCTTGAAAATGAAAACTGTACAAATTGCTGTTTGCCTTGCTCATGAATTCTGATGCATCTGTTTGTTTCCACACAGTCATATCTGAAAGAATTTTCCTTCTCAAATGCTAATCAAGATGATCTCTGGACCCACATCCAGATGGTACTAATTTTATATCTCTAGAATTCTTTCTCTGGTGTTTGGCACAGTCCAAATTTGTTGTATATATTATTTGAAGAAGACTGCACTAGAATGTGGCTATCCCATAGTGCAGTCTTCCTCTCACATAAAGTTTGTTTTGCTGTTTTTTTCAGCTAATGTGTTTTCAAGTGCTTATTAGGCTGCTTTATGGCACCTGAGATCAGTGGAACTAAGTACAAAGAATAGAGAGCAGAGATGGGGAATCAAAACCAGGCTGAGTTTTGAGTTCTGTGGTGATTGCATAAGCCTACATGGAATTGCATAGCCTCTTGTTCTGGAGCTTAAGTTTTGTCAGATCAGAGCACGTGATGCCTTGGGTTTGATGATCAAAGATGCTGACATGTCACAGATCCAACAAAGTTTATACCCAGGGCATCAGCTCAGCATTTCACTCTTTGATGGTTTTGGCAGAAATCTGACTAAGAACACAGATGATAATAATAGATTTATTTTTTTTTAAATCCACTTCCCTGTACCTCTAAAGAAGGCTTCTATTGTGTAGCAGACTCAGGCTTAAGTTAAGAATGAGAATCCTACAATTTCAAATGTGCAAGTTTGTCACATCTTTGAAGCCAGTGAAGACTGTATCAATTCACACTAGTTTTGACTCTAGTTCAGTATCTTTTTCAATTTGTCTTCACTATTAAATTTGTTCATTAGGTTACTTAAAAATGTTTGTGTCCTGGCAGCTTTATTTGAAAGAAATTAACAAATTGAGTCTATCATAGCAATACAGGGGTTGTAAGTGTATTAACACTAAAAAGAGAAAAGTTAGCAGTCAGTTTATAGAGTGAGAAATGTCATCTTAGTATTTCATAATTCCTGAAAAAGGCTTATGCTGCTTTATTATAATGTCAAAAATGTCCTTTGGGCTTTGTTACATTGATTTTTTGCATGAGTCAAAGACCATCAAACTGCTAAGCAGCTATTTTCTCTAATATGTTAGAGCAACTCCCAAAGTGTTGCTGAAGCAATGTCAATAAGTAGTCATTTATCATAAATATTTCTCATTCCTCTTTCTCTTGCAGGTCATAGATGCACAGGATGAAGTTCAGTTGCCAGCATCTGTAAAGCAAATAATGGATTCCTGGACATGCCAAAATGGGTTTCCAGTTTTAACATTAAATCTAACCACTGGAACAATCAGACAGGAACAATTCCTTAATAAAAAGAATAGAAGGAGTACTGATCCTAACAAGTGTGTTTAACTTGTGTTTTCATTGTATGTTTGTACCATGTTTTTTTAGGAAACTGTTAAGTTAGGATATTATTTTTTGATGATCTGATTTTTTTAACTTGTTGATGTTTCTTGTCGCAAGCTGTTAAGTAAAATCCTTTGGAGACTGGAGCTTGCAATAGTTCTGCAAACTGCTTGTTTTGCCAAAAAGGTGCTTTCCTCTGGAACAGTGGCTCTTACAACCACATAATAATAAAGACAAACATAGACCCTGAATATATTGCAGGCAGGATTTTTGCTTGGCATTTCCTTCTTTCCTCATCCCTCAGGTCTACAGTCTGGGAACCTGGATGAAGCATTATGTAGCTTCTCTCCAGTGCACATGTTCCCAGTCTCTTCTGCCTGACAAGGATAAAAGGGTTACATTTAAATACATTTATAAATGGCCCATTTCTCAGAAAGTGCTGATACGTGATGTGCAGTTTAGAGCTCCTGTCAGTGAGCATTGCTGAGTGCCTTTTGAAAGCTGTGCTGCTTGTTTAGGTGTCTATAAATGGTGATAGAAGGAGCTGCCTTTGGTGACCTACTTTGGAAACTCCTGGCTAGAGTTTGAACATTCATGAAATTCAGCAGATGACATGAATATTGGGGTGCATGGATGGGGCCCATGAGATCCCAAAGCAGTTTTTTTCTTGGCAGCTACTGCTGCTGATACAAATAGGCAACTAAATTTTTACAAGAGCCACAGAATTTCCTTTGCTCCCAAACTCCAAGAATTCCAGAGCATTAGTCCATTCAGTATTTTTGGTTATCTTAGGTAAGAAATTCCTCGTTACAAATATGAAGTCCTTTACAGTTAACAAAAGCAAATTACCAGGTGAATGTAAGAAAATTGAAGGCATGTATTGTGGAATTTCTAAGGGTTTTGAAGCTTTCATCTGTTTTACCAGGAGTTTTACATTTCCTCAGAAAAGAAATTACAGTTGTTTGAAGAGTTGTATTGCTCACACGGGGCCTTGTTTTAGTAGATACCCTTCTGAAAAACAGCCTAAAGTTCTCCAGAGATAGGATGAAGTGTAATATGTGAGGAGAATTAATGCCTGAAGAGGGAAAGAGAGCAGAGAGAGACAATGGTATTCAAACACCTAGCACTGAAAAATATTCTTGATATGAGTGCCTATTTAATGCCGTGCTAAAATTCCCTTAAGATGAATCTAAATGCTGACCCAGCATTTAATACTACCATCCAATGAGGTTTCATGTATCAGAGAGGAGAGAAAGTAGATGGATATTCTTGTAGCAAGGAACTAATTTGCAATGCAGTTTAGCATCAGCTAAAAGTTTTTTTTTTCAAGTATAAGATTTAACCTTTTTTTTTTTTTTTTTGTTAAGTAACACATGGATTATTCCTATTTCTTGGATGAGAAATGGATCATCCCAACCCTTAATTTGGCTAGATAAAAGCAGCAGTAAGTAATGTATTTGTTTATACATTCTAAAACCAAACTAACAAAGACACTCCAAACTCTTCTATAAACAGAGGATATATTTGAATTTAATAGGGAGATAAAACTTTAATACAGAAATGTCTATCTTTATCCATTGTGATGATTTTGTGTTACAATAGCAATAGATTTTCAATTAGATCAATATAATGGGGTTTTTTTCTATGTTGCATCAAACTTCAATGTATGTTTTTAATAATATGGTACAACACATATTATGACTAGAGATTTCCACAGTAATTTTGATTTTGTAATTTTTTTACATAAATTCAAACTCTTAGGACCTCAGGGTTCTGTATTGTTCTTACCCCAACAGATTTCATTGATGTTAATGACAGGTTTTGAGTATAGATAGGATTTCAGCTGTGAAATACCAGAAGATTATCAGCTCAAATAGTAGATAAAAGACTGAAAAAATTAAAACTAGCTGTGGGAAGCGACTCAACATGATTGCACATGAATATCTCTAACAACAGAAAATTAATGTTTTTAACACAATTTAATTCAATTTGTTTATGCAAATTAAAGAAAAACATACTCATCAAAAGAGTATGAAGTTAAAAGTTTAAAATCTTATATTAGAAAAGTGAGTTTATGGGCTTCTCCAATCAAATAAAAAGTTCTGTTCTTTCCCGACTCAGTGCTTTCCGATAAATAGCTATCTTTTTTTATGGAAGAAGAAAAGAAAAAATGTAATCATTAGAATGGGGCAATCCTTTTTCTTTGGTAAGTCAGTCCCAAACTCCTTCAGGTTTTAGATCAGTTACAAAGAGATGCAAAGGCTAATGCATTGGAATGCTTAGGAAGAAAAACTGCAATATGCTATGTGTGTATTGCAGCTCTTCAGCCGATGTTTGCAGTGGTTAAAAGTTACCTCCCCTCTTTTTCAGATAACAGGATAGCTTGAGTGATCATTAATTTCACAGTATATGGAAAAGTAAATAAGCAAAAAAATGGATGTGTACTTCTCTGAATACTGGATGAATCCTGCAGTACTTGCTCTGTCTAAACATTGAAATCTCAGTCTTCTATCCAGAACAGAGCAATGCTGGGTCTAGACTATTCACCAATATTGGCTTAGTGTCTTAAGAGAGTTTGTCTTCTCAAATTAGGATGGCTGTAGACAGTTAAACAAGGCTGCACTGGCTCTTTCAAATGCAATATGAGGAGCACTCAGTCAAACAAGAACACATGAATAGACAGCAGTAAGACAAAATGGGCTGCAGAAGGAAGGCTTTAGTGAGTGATGTAACTCAGAAGGACTATGGGACTATTTTATTTAAAATAAGCATTTTTTAGTTACTCGTCTCTTGCTTAAACTTCTCTCTTTCGATTTTGATGTCCATTTATGTGAATACTGGTAAGGTCACTTATTCTGTAAAGTACTGAGCACTGTGTTTTGGAGCAGCACTGGGAGCAACAGGTGTGCTGAGGGTGCATGCCCTATAGCGGGTTATGAGAGGGTATTGCTCCTCATCCAGAGGGTTTATTTATGGGTAAACTTTCTGAACTCTCACAGCTGCCAATGAGCTAAAGGGCAGGAGCAAAAAAAGGTCTTCAGCCTCCCCTTTGCAATCTCAAGGTGCTCGGTACCTGAGGAGTCAGTGACTTGTTGAAGTTACTCTGCTGAGTAGAGCAGAGATCACAAATGAACTGAGCTTTTGGGGGGTTCTCTTTGAGTCCAGTCTCAAACTCGTGTCTCAGATCTCAGAGGAGCACCAAGTCTACTGTTTATAAATGCAAGACAGACAATGTAGTGCACAGAAAATAAAATTATATACTCTAATGTCACTTTACAGAAGTGTTTCCCGAAATGCAAGTATTGGAGTCAGAATATGACTGGATCCTGCTAAATGTAAATTTAAGTGGATACTACAGGGTGAACTATGACCAATTAAACTTGAAAAGATTAGCACACGTGCTTGAAAATGATCCAAAGGTAAGATCATGTTTGTTTTCTCAAGCTTGTAAGAAGACTCTTTCCATGTATTTCTTCTTGCAGTTCTTACTCGGAATCACACTGATGAAAACCATGAATAATGAGAAACTCACATATTACCTAGAAGAAACGATCCACCACTGTACCACTAAAGTCACTGGCAGCCTTTTATAGAGAAAAGGACAGGCCTGAACAGTTTCACATAACCATGAAAAATAACTTTACATAGCATTCTGTCTTCAAAGTTGTCTTAACAACTTTGTGGTTCTTCCAGTCTCTTCAAATCTGGCTCAAGGAGTTACCAGTATGAATGTGTGACTGAGTATCTGGTATTAGGCAACCATGGAGAAGGAAAGCTGAGAGGAAGCTTTTTATTTCCTCAAACTACAATGAAATTTCAAAACAGTGAAATTTCAGAAAAATCCTCTGGCTTGGGTTTTATTTGTGGGGGATTTGGGGGTTTTTTGAGGGGTTTTTGTTTGGTTGGTGTTGGTCTTTTGTTTGGTTGGGTTTTTTTTTGGTTTTGAGGGGGTTTTGTTTGGTTGGATTTTTTGTGTTTGTTTTGTTTTGTTTTTATTTTGTGGATAATTTTCTTAAAAGTTCCAATCAATTCTACTTGGGCTCCCTGAGTCCTCTATAAAACTCAGAGTAGATTTCATTCCACCTGTGACTTGCCACAGCCTGGACTGAAAGTGAATGTGGTACAGAACAACTGGGACTATATATGGGGTTGCATAGTATCCGGTGTTGCCTAATCCTACAGTGAGACGAAGGTCAGGTCACTGGTTTTGGCAACAACAGTAAGCAAATTTAACCTTTATATATAATAGTAATCAATGCAGTCAGACTTCTCTAGAAAGTTTGGACATGATCAGAGCATGTTAAACCTTTCTACAGCACACTGGCTTCCTCTCCTATCAGCTTTTTTCTTTCACAGCAAATCTAAGTCAGCAGGAAGTCAGGTGTGTGCTGACTTGGGGCCATTTTTTGGCACCATGCAGTGTTGTAAAGATGTAACTATAGGACTGATATGACGTGCACGAATAGTCTATTAACTGCAGGTCTGGTCACATACAAACAAGGCAGTTGAATTACAAATAACACAGGTTATTAAAAGCAACATATGCAGTTCTTTTGGATTGCTAATAATAAATGTGTTAACTGCAGAACAGCTGTATATAGACTAACAATATGATTGCAATCACAAGCCCAATTTCCTGAGTGAAAACACTCAGTGTGGCCAAGGACATGAGCCTTACCAAAAGGTGTCCCTTCTGGGAAGAATGAGGAGGATGAACACATAGATCTGTCCCTACAACTTTGTGTCAAACTCTCATCCCCCAGTTAGGCAGGAAACCAGGGTACATTCTATACCTTATTAACTGCTATTGTGCAAAGTGCTGTGGGTGGGACTGTGGTCAAACCGTCTGTTTGTGGGAGTATTTCTTGGTAGGAAAGTGTTCTTGGTAGCAGTTGTGCAAAACTGTCCATTCTTTGTAGTTGTGCTGTATGGAATATTTCTTGATATCAAGCGGAAGAGTGAGACTGCACAGCTCCTGCCCCACTTCACATTGCTCCCTGGTGGATGCCAACACAAACCACCTGACCTCCGCTTGGTTTCAACACTGCACACTGAGCTTTGCACTTCTGCACTGCATTATGCATCCAGCAGTCAGTGGTGGGAATATTTGCTTAAGCAGTGGCCAAGCTGAAGGGGCATGGAATAGGGAAGAGACAAAGAAGACCTCAAAAGAGCATGAGCTGTAGGCAGGTATTCACCCACGGCTGTGCCTTGGTCTTTTAATTCGTGATAGTGTGAGTCACTCAGCTCTGAACTGAATACCTATTGTGAACTTACACCTCAGAAGGTAAAAAGAGTACCAAAATTATATAACTAGGATATTTTTGGGAAATGCGACATTTCCATATTTTATTTTCATGACGGTATGCAAGTATGAGGGGTCTTGAAATTCTGTGCTTTATATATAAAACTATATTGTGTAGCTGTATATCTATATAAATATATACATACACACAAATCCCTAAAAGCACATAAATAATTTCAGCTTAAAATGCAGGATCCATTTTATAGACTTATTTTGGCTTAGAAAAACTGACTTGACATCCTTCTGTAACATAGTAAAGCTTTTTTAAACTCTTAATGACATTTTTACATATATTAACACTACGCGAATGCTTTCTGCAGGTTATTCCTGCTGTCAGAAGGTTCCAGCTGATAGATGATGCTTTTGCCTTGACACAGTAAGTATGTTTTGAATAGGTCACAGAAAATGATTAAACAGCATGATTGCATTCAATATTGCTACTTCTGCTTCCTTCATCCCTACCCATATGTGCCTTGTAAGAACAACTGCTTTGACAAAATGATGGGGGAGTTATTTAGTCCCTTCCTTTGTCAGTGCTGAGTGATTTATTTCAAAATTTCTTTTAACTTTCGTTCCAGATCTTTGGAAATTATCTCAAATAATGGTAATGCCATGAATTCTTTAGGGGCTAACCTTTATTCACTGTAACCGAAAAATTATTTCAAATGATGGTTCTGAATTTTCTGTAATTTATTCTGGGTTATCTCAGATATGCTGTTGTACTGCATCACTCTTAATAGCTCATTCATTTCTCTTGCTGATGCATGACTTGGTTGTTCATGTCAGTGGTGCCAGAGAGGTCAGGAATACTGCAGGGAGCTGAAGAAGCATTAAGTGTGTCTATGCCTCAAATGTGCCAGAGATCCCAAAAGTATCAGACATCTATGATGAGTGACCTCAGAGACAAAGCAGCCAAAGCAAACTGCCCCCCTTCAGGTCCTGCGGAGGTAACTCTGAAAGGAGGAAGTAAAAATTCCTATGCCTGCTCTCATACAAATGTTCTTTTTCATAAGAGACTGCAAAACTGGTATTTAATTAGGAATGTAACTGTGAAGTACAGAAGTATGCTCAAAAGTGTTTGGAGTTTTTTGTTTGTTTGGGTTTTTTTCCCACATAGGTTTGGATATGTTCAGATTGAAACAGCACTTGAACTAACAAAGTACCTTGCCAAAGAAGATGAACTCTTCATATGGAATATGGTATTGTTAAACCTAGTACCTGAGAATTTGGAAAGTACACTGAAGAACTACAAAGTGTATCCACTTTTAAAGGTATGACCTTTTTTGTTAGATAGCATAGATATTCGATCATGTAAATACATCAGTCTAAAATTTATGCTTTATAAATTCTCAAGAATGTAATGATGACTACAATGTGCCAGAATTCTTATCATTCCTTTTGCATGATTTTGTCAATTTTTTTTCATTAATAGGAGATACTTGATTGTGTATGTTAGTCAGTAATAAGTAATGAACAGTTCTTAGTGTGAAACAGAAATATATTTACATTCTTTACATTAAGCTTCATCCTTGGGTTTTGTAAAACTGAGAATCTGGAAGATACAGCTATTGGTATGAAGTGAAAGGACTAGCACTGCTGTGCATAAAGGGCATATAGTGCATATATGCTCTGTGGTTTGCACTGCCTTTCAGCTCATCTTCATGGAGAGAAAGAAGGAATTGGGTTTGGACACTAAATGAGGTGATTCTCTCCCATATTTGACTTCCCTGAGGTGATACTGTCATATCTATTTCCTTGACATCTATTTGAAGATTTCACTTTTGTTTAAAGTACAGTCCCACAGTATTTGTTCTCTTAAGTTCTAAAAAGTAAAGGTATGTTTAAAATATGTGAGACAAACAAAGTACTTCATATTGAGAACGCTGTGTTCTTTTTCTCTGAGAATATTTGTTTTCTTTCTTAATGATTTCAAAGATCCTAGTAATGTCAAATGGTAACTTGCCAGTTTGAACTGATGTACAGGTTTATTGAATTTTAGACCCACTTTTTATTTTAACATGCTGTGTTGTCAAGATATTAATAGTAGTAAATATTTAGGATAAATCTGAGTAAATAAGAAACTCAGAAAAATAAAAACTTGCATCTAAATGAAAGTAATTTTTCTTTCCCTTCTTTTAAAAGAAATACCTTTTAAAGAGAATGTTGCCAATATACCATTATTATGCAGGTTTTATTCATAAAAATGTTGATGCTTTGGAAGATGACTATTTTGCTCAGTAAGTATCCTGCTTTTCTCAAAAGTTTTTTCTGGTGTGATTGGATCTGATGAATTGCAGTTTGCTTGTGTAAATTTAAATACAAGATACAGGAATAATTCCCTAATTAATGCAAATGTAATGGGCTTGTTATTTTTACTGTCCTACAAGTGTGTATTAATTATGATGACACCTCCAATGAAACTGCAATATCAGAATAGGAGCATAAAAGATAATAGTTTAAGGATCTGAGTGGTAGCTTTTTGTTTATCAGAGAAGAGGCTCAGCAGGCTGCCACAGGTTGGAGCAAAACTGACAGCAGTGAACTTCAGATATGATTTATGGATCAATCAGTAAAACTTTAAAATAATTCATTTTGCAAGGCCACTGCTGCCACAGGCTTGAATGTCTGAGTGGTTTTCTTAAAACTAGGACCTTTAAACTATTGAGGAAGACATAAACCACACAAAAAAACTGAGAAAAAATAAAGTACATCGGTTGCCTCACTAATATTCATTAATATTAATGTCAGAAGTCCACTGTTGGTTGTTTGATTATTTTATTAAACCTCAACTGTTCCTAATAGAGATTCTTGTGCATGAATGACATCATGTACTGAGACTGTGGTAGTCAAACACAGTTCAAGTACTCCAAATGTGGAATATATATCTTTTATTCTTACTATTTTGGCTTCTTTTCAAGAGCATATTTGGAAAAACTTTTTGCAATAGTGTGCTGGCTGGGCCTCCAAGATTGTTTGGACCTGTCATCTGAACTATATGCTAAGTGGATGGACAACCCTGAGTACAAGTAAGAAAGCTGATTTGTTCTTAGAGGTGTGCATGCCTAAGTGAGCTGGAAAGTTAAAGGGGGGAGGCAAAACCAGAAGTGCCTCTGTATGCTGCTCTTATTTCTTGACATAATGACAGAATTTAAGACTAACTATGTCCCCCTAGCGCCCCTCTCTTCCCCAAATCCCAACTTTATGATGATTTCATAATTACTGCTTTTTACATAGACTTTACAGGCTGGAGAATGCAGATGTTGCCATGAAGACCAAAATCTGGTTAGCAATGTAACAGATGAACCTCATATTACTGCTAATATCCCTTTTGGTCCTGTGCCTTTGCTGTAGTACAGGTGTAGGCTTATTATGTATATTAATTTGCCCTCTAAGCTTCTCTTTGCAATACCGAGTGAAATGGTGTTTGTATGATACAGGCATCTGCCCACAGTGAGCCCACCAAATTCCCACGTAAAGAGGTGTTGGGAACAGCTGTCAGTTCTTACATTGTTACTGGAGCCCGGTGGTCAGGTGCCTGGTCTGTAAGAATGGAGTCTGGACTCCACCAGAAAGAATCTTTCTGTATTCAAGTATTGCATGGTTAAAGAAGATTTACAGTGTATTGAAATTCTTATTCTCTTTTCCTCCTTCTTTCTTTTGATGTCCTTCTATGCAATAGTCAAATAGTATTGGCATCGGTGAGTGAATATTTAAAGTCTATTTTTACTTATTGTAGTTGTAATAAGTATTTTATTGTTATTTGCATCTCCATGGATACATTCAGTTGGGTAAGTAAACTGAACTTGTACTTCTATGTTTTGTGTTTTTAAAAAAACTTCATAGTGACCATCCTCATAAAAACCCAACTGAGCTTTGCAGTTAGACTGAATTTTAAATAGCCTAAATACATTCTGTTACTTTCCAGAGAGGATATTCTTGCTATTTCACACTATAAGCAAAAATGTCAGGCTGAATTCTCTGTCTGTTTTCAAAACAGTCAGTTATCTTCCCCTATTAATAATATTTGAGAGGTTTTTTTCTAGTGGAATACTATATACCTTATTTGTCTTGACAAGCTGAACAGTCTGTTAAATATATTAGCTGATTGGGTTTTGAATTAGATGAAGATTAATAATTTTGGTGTCCTCTTTAGCACTAAGGTAAGTTCAAAGGGACTTTACAGGTCTCTAAGTGTGGAAAAAAATGCAACTCTTAATTTTGTTAAGTGAAAAAAAACAATCATGTTTTAAGTAAAAAAAAAACCAAGAGGAGATAGGATCCTTCTTAGATTTCAAGTGACAACTCACAGTTTCCATGGAGTTAAAGAGATTTCCATGTGCTGGGTAGGAAAGGAAAAGGGCACAACACACTTTTGAATCATATTTCACAGACAGATGCCTTTAGATACTTTTACATTCTCCAATTTGAGACCAAATTCATAGTGGGACACTATAGTTGTTCTACCACAGGTAAGATTTTGACATCTGTGGAAGGGAACAATGCTTTTCTGTTCCAAACTGTGTGATCACCTTTCAGCTGAACATCTCCAAACAGCTTCTGGCAGAACTTAACTGGATATGTTACAGTGCATTTTTATCTGTTTCATGAAAATAACAAGCCAAGAGCTGTGATTCCCAGCCAGTTTCTGTTTTACACTTTTTTCTTATAGGAAACTTGCTAAATTAATGTTTTCTCAGTAGTGCTGTTACTGGCTTGTCTTCTTCTGAAAGAAGGAAATTAGCCTAGTAGGAGGGACAGTGTTGCTGTACATTTTATTTATTTACTAACGGTTCCCATATTCTGCTGTCACCCTCAAAAGTTAAGGAGTCACTACATCACTTGTGCACAGGCTCCAAGAAAACAGTGTAAAATAACCTACCCTGATTTCCAGCAGCTTTTTGTATTTTTCCTAAGGTCTAGAAATGAGAGAATCCAGGCAGGCCAATAATATCAAACCACACAATCACTTGCAGGAAAAATACCAAGATTAAGAACTCACATCCTTCAAGCTCTAAAGTTCCTCTGTACCATAGTGGACTCTGTCTGGGAACTACACAACATAACCCCTTCAGGGCCATCACAGATGTCACCAGCCAGCAGATCATTTTTCTACAGCAGGCTGCGCGTCCAGCCTGCCTTAAATGCTGAACATCAGAGCTACAGCAAAATGATACACAGAACTTGTCTATTTGCACTTCACTCACAACAACCTTACACTTAGTAATCAAAATTTTCTTGCAACTATTGGAATTGCTGCAGTTGCAAAATAAATAGATGCATTTTGGCCAAAGGAGCTTTACCCTGTTTTACTCAAATAAGATCTGCCACAGAAGGATTCCTCACAGGACTGTTCTTTACCCTGACATAATCACGCAATCCCACTAAGCATCATTCTTGGTGGTTAAACCCCTTTAGTTACAGCAACTATCTAAGTAAATGAATACAAAGTATTTCTTGAAGTAAATATAATATATGCCCACACTTCCTGTTGTTATGCCAGTGAAATCCCCCACCCACAACAGGACTACTAAAATCCCCACATCTTGCATTTTCTCTTCTTAACAAGTGATGTCTCTTATACAAAACACCCAACTGTCTCTGTTTTTCCCCCAGTCCTTCATTTCCAGAGTTTATAACTTCCTTGTCTCTACCTTTTGCTTTGAAGATTGATGACATATATCCTTCCATCTGGTTAACACTGGCTCTCTTTCTGCACCATCCTCATTTTCTTTAGTATGGTCTACTGAAACTCAGGAAATTTTCTCAAATTGTATTTAAATTTGAAATTGCTGTTTCCAGTTTTGGGCCTGAAGACTGGCTTTAATGACCAGAAACTTACTGGTTTTTCCAAATGTATTTCCTGAGGAAGATAGTTTTTACACCTCTACTTACAATCTTGGTCTGATGTAATGAGAAGCAGATTAAAAATATGCTATTGGAAAGTTTGATGTTTTGTTTGTAGCAATGGTAACTATTCTACAGAGAATTAGTCCAAAATACCATAGTTGAAACTGTTTTCAGATAGCCTGCAAAGTAGAATACTGATGTCTGTGGAAAGTGTTGACAATGTCTTAACGTCAGACACACATCATCACCATGGCAGAAATTTTCTATTCAGCTTTTGTTCATTGAGTATTGCTCTGGTCATGTTTGCATTCAGTTTCTGTTATGAAATTTATTGCCATGTCGAGGAGTCTCCCTGGGGTGGGAGTAACAGCGGACTGCCTGTTGCATGGAGAAATGTCCCTCTGGTATCATTTGTGCTGCAAATGGCCCTTCCTACTAAATGCATTCACTGAATAAACTTTGAAAAGGCATATATGGGATGATGCCATTTCCTAGGCTGTGATGGGAAACAGCGGCATTGACACTGCATGTACAAAAGAATAGCTTGGTTCAACTGTCCCAAAAAATGTGAGGGCTTTTGGTTTTCCTTTAAACTGTATGCTTTTTCAATGCTTAAATCATGAAAAAAGCCATCAAATTTCCCATCTTTATTTACATTGCTATTTTATATTTTCATTCATGTATATCTTTTAACTGTAAATAACTGGTTTTGCCTCCACAACAGTACAATAACTTTTAATCTTATTTTTGCCTTTCAGAATTCCCTTCTTAATTAGAGGAACAGTGTGCTGCTATGGTGTTGCTGTGGGAAGTGATAAAGAATGGAATTTTGCATGGGAAATGTATACCCGTAATGACTCCACAGAGGACGATAAAGACATCCTGCTCTCTGCCATGAGCTGTGCCAAAGAGCCATGGTTACTTTACAGGTGACCTTGATCGAAGTATATCTTTGTTTATGTAGAAGTAAATTATAAGAACGTAAATACTGTGCTGTGCAAATCCAATGGAGGTTTGTCTGACTCCTCAGTACGTGTCTTGTTGACCACTGGAAGAAATCTTAAGCTTTCTTACGGAGCAAAATAATAAATAGGGCAAACACAAATAAATGATTCTTCTGCAGATACAACACTGGTGTCATGTTCAGCATTGGGCCTGTCTTCTGTCAATATATCTAGTGACTTTTTTGAACTAAAATGAATTGTTTTGTGTTGGTTTTTAACTTGGAACCCATGGGCTGCCTACACCCTATGCACCGTAAGAAACAGTAATTTTAATTTGCTTAGACATTTTTCCTTGTCTTATGATTTTACATAATTTTCCCAAACTCCTTCACCCCTGCTTACTTTGTTTCCAAACAAAAGTGTCATAGCCTACTAGCCTCTGTGTGGAAACAAACTCACCCAGGTAAAAGGCAAGAATGTAAATAGACTTATTAGCAAGCTTTTCACCATTTGAAGTGCAGATTCAACTGAAAAGTGGTGTTTTTTTAAATTTCCAGCTTCACAGAGTGATAGAATCATGTGATATCCTGAATTGGAAGGGTCAAGTCTAACTCCTGACACCATATGGGGCAACCAAAAAGTTAGACAAATATCTAAGAGTTTTGTCAAAATGTTTCCAGAACACTGTTTGGAATACAGTATTAATTTTATTTTACTGACATCCATCTTTATCTGTAAAAAGGTGTTGAAGTTGAATTCTCTAATCTGTGTTGTTTACATTACCTAAAGTATTTCTTAAAAGATGCAAATTTGGCAATGTAATGATGATCATCTAGGAGTTCACATGAGTTCCATGGGTCTAAAGTTCTGGAAGTAGCAGAGATTTTACTCCTTCCTGCCGCTTGCTCTAGTAATGGTGGTCGTTTGAAAAGATGGAAAAAATATGCCTGAGAATAACACAGAAGTGTTGCAAAGAGATACCCCATCAGCTACACTGATTTTTCCCCTAAATTATGATCCTTTATTATTCAGGGAGTCATGATGAGCTTCTTCTTCCCTGTGCCTTACTAGCTGATAAGCCAATTGCGTTTTTTTAAATGCCACCCTGAAAATTTTTTGGGGTGAGGAATGTTAAGCTGTGCTTTTCCTGGCCCTCAGAATGTTTTGTTCATTCTGTTAGGCATAATGGTAGCACACGACTGGGAAAAACCCAGCTCAACTACTACACCCATAAAGCAGCTGCCTGCAACATCCTATGAGAAGAATAACTCTAGAAGTGTTGCTTTGAAAATTGGAGTATGCAAGGTGTGAAAGACTGAGGCAACAAAGAGAATACTTACTTACTTCTCAAGCAGTAAGAATACTTACTTACTTCCCACTGCCACTGGCATCACTGGCTAGCAGTTCCTAAAATACTTCTGGAGCCCTGCCTTAATCCCCATGAAAAAGCTTCTTCCTGGGTCTTGTAGGGAACCCTATAAACAGGTCAGCTCTGTGTAAGAGTGTCTCACTGCTGGCACACTCTCTAGGCTCCACCTGTGTCACAGTAAAAGGGAATCTCCTGAAAGTGAGCAGCAGTTTGCCCTTCTTTGGCTTGTCTGGTAGGAGCGGTTGCTTTTCTGTAACAAAGATAAGAAATGCCTGTATGCCCCCATGGTATGCTATACCCTCACTTTACTAAGATATGAAGATTCAGTGTGCAAGAATGGGATTTCTCCAACGTTAAGGATAAAACCAAAGCTGAATACACAGCTCAGAGTGACACCAACTTCGGTATAACCTTCCACATGCTGATATTTGTTGAGATGCATTATATTTCCAGATCATTGGCATGATCAATGACAAGTGATAGGTGCATTTTTTACCTTCTTTTCTAACAGATACTTGCAATATGGACTCGGTGATACATTATTTTCTTCTAACTGTACTTCAACCATCATCTTAAATGTGATGGCTAAGGATATTGGGCACCGTATGGCCTGGGAATTTGTTACTGAAAATTGGCCACTTTTAAAGGAAAGGTAAGTAACCAGCTTTGGCTTCCTTTTATTTCTGTGGCCCTTTGGCTTCTTCCTCCATCTTTACTTTTAAGCTGTAAAATTCAGGTGCAGATTTTTCTTCCATAGGTGGCTATTTGTAATGATTGATTCCACTTCTAAAGTGTGCAGAATGGAGTTTTCAGAGGATCCAACTATAATCAGGGCTTAATGTCAAAGAAGAGCTCATGTCAAACACAACACTTTAAAAATTAGTTTGTTCATGACTGTTTCAGTGCTTTAAAGTATTAGATTTCCTGGAAACTCTGATTCTAGAACCAGGTTTATCTACTAACATCTCACAAGCGTGGGTGTAAAATGATGGAACAAGATAGTAACTGTTTTTCCACAGTATGGATAGATGGGGGATTAGGGCATGCAGGTGTGAAAGCACTGATAGGACAAACTACAGTATTATTCCCTGACTTAAATTCTAATCCACCTCCAGCCTATCTGCAAGTAAACTGGAGGTGAGGCTGGGTTACCCATCTTGAGCAAAGCAAATATTTTGATGTCTGTTTGAAGACTCCCTCTCTCCTTAGCACTGGTGAAAAGCAGCAGGGCTGTGACAGAGTACATTCCAGATGGTTTTGATGTCAGAGGAGGTCACTGTGATCCATTAGTGTCAGCATAACCAACACCAGCCATTTTGTACATTCAAATGTGTAACTTTATTGCTAACACTAGAAAAGGCAAGTTGTAGCAGATTTGTGTCATATCAACTTGTTCCCTCACAAAGCTTTTCCATGTTGATGAAAAATTTGCTGGTGAATTGACCTATTATTTTCAAACTAAAAAAATAGTGCAAGTGTTTATTTATACACCATTTATACACCAAGCTACCAACAGAAACACAAACTTCTTAGAATCAGTACTGCTTAGCCTTTCTAGCTCAGTTTGGCTGTGTGGGCTCACAAAGATTATCTGTTTTAGGCAAAGAATTCATGTTACCAAAGTGAAAATAACAGATCTTACTGGGAAATGGAAATGAAGATTAATTTTTTTGCTTCATCTTGCTCAAATGTCTAAATCAAAGGTTAATGGTATTTCTTTAAAAGGGAAAAAGTGTATGCAATTGCAAAGTTCAGCTTAGTTGGTATTTGCAACATAGTGAAAAATAACTAACTAGTCTGAGTATTTTCAAATGAGATTAAATTTATTATATTTGCTAGCATGCTGTTTGAAGGACCTTTATCTCAATTTTACAGATATGGGCAGGAATTGTTGCATGATGTATTAAAAGTCATGGGAAGATTTGTCAATACAGATGTACAGATCCAAGAGGTAAACCAGAGAAGCTTTATTGCAAATTTAAACTTTATTGACAGTTTGTAAATATGGGATTTTTCATCTCTTGTTTTTTAAAGAAATCATAGGACGCAATTTTGATGTGTTGAAAACCTTCAGGTTGGGAGCTGAGTCCCAATAAATTCTATCAAAACTGTCTCATTTTTCTCTATAAAATCTGTCTGTAGAGATAACCTTTGTCATGATGTCTACAGAAAATGTACCAAAGTAGGGCTGCTGGCATGTTAAGTTGTCACACTGGTATCTGTTTAATTTCTCATATTGTTCATTCCCTGCTCCCCCCATGTATTTCTTCAGTATTCTTCACTACTCTCTTTTCTCTTGCTTATTAGACTGATGGGAAAGATTTCTTGTTCTGTGATTGTAAAACAGGCAGCACAAGAGGATTCTGCTACCCAGCTAGTCCTAGACAGTGTGGTACCACCAGTACCAGTGAAGTTGGCTGCATTTGAAAGGGCACATTCTTGATATGTAAGGAGCTTTCCTACCTTAGTGTAAATCAGTAAGCTTGCCCCATCCCCTCTTTAGTCTCTGTCATCTCCTCCTTTTCTGTGCACTTCTTTCTAAAGCATCTGCCAGGCACTCAGTTGCTTGCTGCAAGTGAAGTGATCTGAACTAAGATCATGCATTAATTTCTTCAGTTGCAGGTTTTTTATAATGCTACGCTGGAAGAGGATGAGAGAGAGGCTACTACTCTGCTACTGGAATCTACAAAATCTGAAAATATTGAAAGGAGAAAACTATTAATCAAAGTTGCCAGCTGGTTAGAGAAAAATGTAGATGATTGACTTGGAAAACAATTTCCAGAATATTTTACAATGTGATTCAGTATCATCTTGGTATTCATTTTAAGCTGTAATTAAAGATAAAGCACATTTTTATGAGTCCCATGGTTGTTTTTCTATATGAAAAGTCAGGCTAAAATAATTCACATAGGAAAGAAAGATTCAGCAAAAGAAACTATAAACATATTTGCATATTATATCCAAATTAACTTCCTACTGGATGAAGTTAAGTAGGGATGCATTGCTCATGATGATCTAACGTACAGATACAGTCCTAAATCCTTCATAATTTCTGAATATCCAAATGCAAAGTGTGGTAAAAGTTTGTGGCAAAAACACGTGAGGAAGATGGAAAAGGTTATATTCAGTGTTTCTTTGTACAGTGACCTGTAATCTGCCTGTCTCCACTTCTATGTTTTTAAATTCAAAGAGGACAATAACTTAGAACAGTGCCATGAAACATAAACCTCAGAACTACTTCAGAGCTCTAGAAAGGAAAGGACTAAAGGATCCTCAATTTTTCATTGTAACAAATTAATGCCTTGTCCTTCAAGCTTTATCATTCCATAGCAGATCTGTACTTGATGTGCCTACATTCACATTTGTGTTTGATTAGGAATGTGTTTTTAAAGAGACTGTCCTGGTTGTGTCCATTTAGCATACTTAATAGCCCCCAGGACAGTCTTGGACTATGTGAACTGGATTCTTTCTGGGTGAAATTTATGATGATGAACCCCTGGTGTGCAACTGAGAGACCACCATTTGATAGTCATTTTGTCCATGGTACTAGAATGCAACTAGTCTAAACTAACCTTTCTGGAATATCATCACTCTTGCTGCACTGAGGTGCTTGCAAATCATAGTATCATAGAATGCACTGAGTTGGAAGGGATTCATTAAGATTATGAAATCCAGCTCCTGTGCTGTAGATACAGGGTTAATCATCTTGCTTACACAGCATTTTGGAGGTGACAGACAGACACAATTCAGTCCACTAGTATCAGGAAACCATATTAGCTTGTGCTTGAAGAAGTAGGGGATCTTCAGTCCATGCAATTCATTTACTTGTGGGAAACAGTTCTATGACAAAATTACTGTACTGCTGATTAGGTTAACATAGGAAACAATGTTATCTGGGGATGAAGAAGACCCTATGAGGAGACAAGGAATAAAACCCAGACATGTTAATACTAAGAATTTTTCACTGGCAGCCTCTAAATACACTTAAGGAAAACACTGCCATGCTGGCTACAGTGAATCTCCTCTGCTTCCCAAGGCTGCAAAAAAAAAAAATTGAAACTATTTCGTGACTGCTTGCGAATCCCTTTGCTGTATGGTAATTACCAACTGCTGCACAAGTTTGTGTTGGAAACATTTGACCTCTTTAGGATTTGATCCAGTGAAGGATAATGCCAAAGAAAATTGTGTGCATTGTAAGTCTTCATCAGGTTGTTTGAGAAAAGAGGAAAGTCATCAAGGCTGCAGTGAATTACAGGGGTTTTATAATAGGATGATTTTGATTGGGAGGGACTTTAAAGATCATTTAGTTATAACCCCTCTGCCATGGGCAGGGACACCTTCCACTTCACCAGGTTGCTCAAAGTGCTGTCCAGCCTGGCCTTGAACACCTCTAGGGATGGAAAGTCCACAGCCTCTCTGTGCCAGTACTTAACCTGTTCTGTTTCAGCATTTCTTGTGACTAACACTAGTTAATCATTGGCTTGTATTCCTCATTGGGTGGACTCACCAAAGCTCAAGAAACATCCCACATTTTATCCCTATGCCAAGTATGTTCAAACCACCTCTTTCCAGCGATCCACTCTTCCTTTCTAACCACTCTTCTATGTCATTGTTACTTTTTTCTTCTTTCTACAAAACAAACATTTTAATTAGAAATGCCAATATGTAAAAACTACTAAAAGAATTTTAAATAAGAAGCTGTTTTCAAATAATGGTTCCTGACTAATGTCTGCCTTCCATCTGACATGCTGTATTTCAGAACTGCAGTGTAGTTTTAGGCAGAGGCAGAATGGTGAAGGTCATTGCTAGGCAAGCTGCCTGAGCAGGAGCAGATCTGAATTGCTTCCAGACTTGCACTCAGTGGCATGTGACAGTGGCAGCTGTATGCTGGCAGCTCTTGTTGCTGTTGAGTACAAGTTGAGCACAGAGGTTTGGAGAGTGGCAACGGGGAAATGCAGCAAGGGAAGGAGAGGTGCATGAGAGGAATCCAGGACAAGCTGGGAAAGCTACTTTATTGCAAAGAGAGTTGGAGTGAAAGGAAGTTCTTTGAAAATGAGTATGAGGACATGGATGGGACTCCAGGAAATGAGCTTTATGAGTACCTCCGAGGTCTGTGCTATAGGATATGTAATTGTGAAGATGTGCGTGTATGGGCCAATTTCCAGGGAAAAAAGCTGTGTCATTGATAGACAGGATGCATCCAGTAGGCCCTGAGGGGAAAAAAAAATACATTTGATGAAAAAAGACCAGCTTTTTGCCTTAAGTCCTGCTCTCTGTCGTGAGAGTGTGAAAGTCAAAAGTTACACTTGTTCCTCCTTTACTGTATCCATGTGTGACAAGGCAGCAGACTTCAGAGCTGGCAACCATGCATGCCAAGAAATTCCCAGTAGAAAGAGACTTAGAGCTGTTTAAGACAAGGTCCAAGGGTACTAGCCAACTTCTCATCTGCACCTCCTGGCACAGTTGCCCCGCTGCCCCATTCTGCCTGCATCTCCTTTCAGTCCTGGCACCCCAAGAAGCCTCCCACACAGGTGAGGAGAAAGCAGCTGGTTGGGGGGCCTGCGTGGCCAAAGTGCAAGTGTTGGAGATGAGCTAGAGAGTGAAACTGAGTTTGCACGATGGAGAGACAACTTTATTAAAGAGAATGAAGTTCCTGCTTGTGATGGTTTTAGTCTAGGCCTTCCTGGTGACCAGTTTGTAACCAAGGAAGTAGCCAAGTATCCAGTATTCCATACGATTTTTACGTAAATCAGAGTATAAATAAGTCGGAGATTAGAGACCTCGCTCTCTTCTCTTCCAGCGAGGTTTGGGAACAGTGGGTCCCTGCATTGGTCTCGCTTATCTAAGGCTGAGGCCTGCAGAGTCCACCGTCCTACCACGTGGAGGTTTGGAGAGTGCTGGCTGTGACTGCCGATCCTGCTGTTCTAAGGGACGTGGTGAGATCTGCTTTGTTAGTTATTAGTATAGTTCTTGAGTTTAATCTAGTATACCTGTTCGGTGTCCCTTTTGTTCCCTTTCGTCCCCTTTTTTCCCTTTCCCTATTCCTTCGGGGGGGTGGATCCCTTTTTACTGTGTATATAGCATCTTAACTGTACATACTTGTAATTTACGTAAATATAGATATATTTTTACATAAGCAGTTTGACTTTGGGTTCTTTAATTTTTATAGTTTGTTTTCTTTTAACTTAAGGGAAGAAAGGAGGGGGGGGGAAGGGGGCTGCTGTCGTAACTTTCGAGCATTTGGCCACCGTCACACTGCTACAGCCTGTCAGCCTACCTAATGGACTTTCTACTAATAACCTTGTGGTTAAAACCTATTGCTGGGTTAAGGCCACCATTCTGTGTTCCTTCTTTATGGACTTTGCCTTTCAAGGCACAGTAACAATTTGCCTATTGGTCAGTCTACCATGAGGTAGCTACCAATCAGTTCTTTCCCCAGTTGTCTCATAGTTATGTTACACCTCTTTGTTATGTCACCCTTTTTCCTACCCTGTCATTTTCCCTGGTTCTGCATGCTCCTGCCGTGCTCCACCCCTATTCCAGATCCTTCCCTAGCCTGTCCCTTAAAAACCATCCATTTTGTTTCAATAAATCAGATCAGCTTTGGCTGGCTTGTTGATCACATTGTCTCTTGTCTCCTTGTTGGGCACAGTGTGCTTACCCTTTGGGTGAGACCACAAACGACCCTTCAGGGCTGAGTGTGTGAGCAGCAGCTTAGCCTGTAGCAGGCTCTGACCCATAGAACTCCTGCAGTCCTGCTGCAAGCCTGCTGGTCTCGCTTTTCCTTTTATCAAACCATGGTATGCAAGCTCCATGCCTCCTGGCTGCATGATGGCACTCATGGATGAGGTGGATGGAGCAGTCTGCTCCTTCTTTCAGGGTTGTTCCAAATCCCAGAAGGGTCGGTATGGGGTAGGCAAAAGGAATGGGGACTAAAATGCCATAAAATGAACTGAGATGTGGCCTTGCCACATTTCTGCTACGCAGTGACTCAGAGAATACAAAAAGAGCTGTCATCTCTGCATCCCCTGGCCCAAAGGTGCAGGGAGTCCTCTGGAGCCAGGTGTGATGGATGGACCCAATCCTACAGCCAAACTAATGGTAGTTTGGTTCAGGCTCCAAGGGCAGCAAAGACCTAGACCATGACTTGGCTAAGAACTTCCAAGCTATTTCAAGCTGTTCTCTGGTAGTCCCCGCAGGAACAGGGTGATATGGTGAACATCGATGCATACGAGCTTGGAAGCCGGAACACCAAATATGTGACTAACACAATAGCAGGTGGTTCTTCCAAGACTCATTTGTCAAGGAACACAGGGAGCTATAGGTACAAGGAGTCTTACATTTACCTTTTCCATCACCTGTAATTTGGCTGTGAGCCAACTGTTTTATCCCATAAATGTCACAGCCTAAAAGAGCCTTCTCTGAGCTCTCCCTGTTAAGCAGCTTGCTGCATGGGGTGATCTGTCTTGGAGGTGGGACACCTCTCAGGTTGCTTCTAGAGGCTGAAACACCCTTTACCAACCGCTTTGGTAAGTGACCAATATAGTGCACAACCCTGTATTATAGCACACTAAGATTTTGCATTGATAACTTTGACTCATAACTCTGTGCAGTAAATAACAATGAAACTTGCTTTTTTTTAAGTTTTACAGTATCTTGGTTCAATAAAATCACTATTGCTGATACCTTTGGCAGTTGTTCTTTAAGTGGTCAAAATTTTCCCATGAGACAGATCGACAACAGGCCCTGGTCTTTCGGGGTTGTTGTCTACCATTCTTTGTAATGTGATTTATGAGACAAGGACATGAATGGGGACAGGCAGGCTCCTGACCTTGCCTGTCTGTGAAATACCCATCCTGATGCTCTCCCACTCCTCAGCAGGATGCAGGGAGAAAATGAGGTGAAATAGCTCATGTATTGAGATAAAAAGCAGGGAGATAACTTACCGAGTACCATTGGGGGCATGTTGTAGTTGGGGAATGGTAGTCCCCAATTTAGTACTCCCACTGAGACTCTCCAAGCCACGTGCCACTCACTCAGTCCCTGCTCTCATTCCCCTTCCCCTGCGCTTGGCTGGAAAGGAGATCTGGAGACACAAAAGGTTGAGATAAGAACAATGTACTGGAAACACCAATGAGATAAAAATACTAAACAGTAACAGCAGCAATACTAACGACAGAGGGTACAAGAAAGAGGTGAAAGGACATTGGATTTCTCCCTCTGACTTGCTACACTAAGCGAGAAGAGACTCCCTTCCCGTTGTCCCCCGGGTGAGGTGATATAAAATAACATCGGGGCCCTGGCCATGCCCCCTCCTGGCTACTGCAAAAATAACCTTGTTAATGGCTGGAACTAGGCCTATTAAAATAGATGTCTAGTATTTGTGGTCTATTAAAACAGACTTCAATAGTAGGAAACAAAACCAAAAATTAAAACACCGCCATCCCCCACACACTTCCTTTTTCCTCGGGCTCATCTTCATTCCCAAGTCTTCCACCTCCTCCTGTGGAGCAACCCAGTGGGAAGAAAAAATGGGGTTTGGGGTCAGCCCATAACTACTGGCAGACTCGCTGGCACTCCGTCCCGCTCCTCACGCTGTTTCCCCGCTCCAGGGTCCCTCCTGCAGGCCGCGGTTCCTCCAGCGAACACCGCGCACCTGCTCGGCCCTGCGAGCCCTCGCCGCCCTCACTCACCTCGGCGCTCGCACCGCTGTTCCTCCCTTTGCGGTTTTCTCCTCGCTCGTCTGCCCGCCCGGCGTTTTTGTCCTTTCCCCAGCGGGTTGTCCCCGGGGCGCCGCCGGCTCCGCTGAGGGGCTCGGGGTGCGCAGAGGGCAGAGAGGGCCAAGAGGGAGCGCTGGGGCCGCTCCACAACGTGTGAGGAACACCGGGACGAGCCGTGGAGGAACGGCGAGGCAGGCGAGTGCGGGACAGAGTGTGCGAGCCGGCAGTGGGAGCGGCCGGGAGGCAGGAGGGAACGGGCGGGAACCCTGCCCGGGGCCGCCCGGTCCCGGCGGCAGCACCGCCGCGGGGTGAGGGGGTGGTAACTGGGCCCTCCTGCCCAGGCAGCTCTGTGGGGTGAGACAGCGCAGTGGGGGTGATGACACCGCAGCTCTGCTGTGGGCTCAGCCACATGGCGCGGGTGGGCGGGAGCGGCCGCGTTTGCCTGTGGGAGAGCCGGAGCCAGGCGAGCCACGGGGCCGTCTCCCCGCAGCTGGAGTGCCCGACCGGGCGAGGAGGGTTAACAGCGGTCTCTGGAGGAGGGGGATTTGTTCTCCCCTGGTGCTTCACACAAGCCTTTCACACCCTTGTCTCCTGGGCATCTCGGCTACTGAAATCACCTCCCGCATTTCCCTGTGCTTTTCCCCTGTCTGTTCCACCCCTTCCCCAAGCCCCGCAGGGGCTGTTGCTGATTTGAAAGAGAAACAAAGGAAGACACAAGAGGCAAAAACAAGTGATAAACCCAGCTGTTTGTAAAAAATGGGGAGGAGGAGGGAAATGAGCTATCAGATGTGAGGAACACTACCTGTGGCCTCACTCTGTGTCAACATTTTTACAGCGAAATCATAGAACTCCAAGGAACTGTTTTCCAATGGGACAAGAACGTTGCAGACTAATTTTTCACTCTGAAAAACGTGGTGTTTTTCTCTTCAGCTGCCCCATTTGTCTGGCTGCAGGATGCTGCTGAGCTTGACAGGGAAGCTCAACAGAAATTCAACTCATTTGCTCCCACATTCTCCCATCCCCCCTTCCCAACACTAGGGATATTTGTATTATATCTACCCTTGTGTGTTCACAGCCACGTGCTAATGATGGGGAAGACTCGTCCCTGTAGGAACCCTCAGGAGTTTCACCAGCAGAATCAAGCTCTCTTAATGTCACCTAAGATTTTAATCCTTGTGTAGGTACATCCTTGTAGCCTAACACCCACCCAGTAAAAGCTACTCTGAGCTGATTGGAGACTATGTGTTATCATGTATGCCATGATAAACAAATACAACTCATGCACAAACAGTTCAGGAAAAGGTCAGATACACGTGTATAATTAGCAAAATTGAAGAAAATATTAAGCATAAGATGGTTTAATTATAATGTTGGTACTGATAGAGTTAATTCTTGTTTTCTCCATCATGTAGAATATGAAGAAATCAGAACCTTGGAAAAATATATGACAATAAAACTGATTGTAGGAGTTTTGGTTTTGGCTTGTTGTTGTATGAGCACCTTGGAGATTGTGACTTTTTTTTTTTTTTTTTTTTTTTTTTTTTTTTTTTTTTTTTTTTTTTTTTTGT